TCAGTGACAGAAGCAGTAAACACAAATTTGTCACAATCACAATGACTCTCTAAGTCAAATGCTGGGCATAATATTTGTTTATTAATTGGCGTAATTTTGATATTGGGACAATCATTCTGTGACAGTGTGTTACTTACTGATGTAGAAACAGACAGTGGTATATTAGACCTACTAGCAGTACTTACGTTATTCACTAGATTTACTAGTTGCAGTTCAATAGTAGTAGTAGCTTCTAGTGTGTCATTACCAGTAGGATTAATGTAGACAATAGTAACTGATGAACAGTTGTCTCTTACATCAGTAGCAGCAGTTCTTTGTATTGCTAAATCAATAGTAGCGCAAGGTGTTTGAACTCCTCCAGTCCAACAAGAGGTATTGTTGATACCATCAGATGAACTGACATAAATCCTACACTCCAAACCAGCAGCAGAATATGCTAGAACAAGAGAAGTAATGAACAACAATAGAACAATTGTACTAGACATTTTCGATGTTATTGATTTTACAAATGTTGACTGATGTGATCAACCTTATATATAGTAAAGGGTGTAAATTTAAGTATAAGTTTCAGTTTCATTATTTTCATTTCATTGAATGATTTGTGATGAAATCAAGTTGTTTCACCTTCTTCAAGCACTCAAAGCATTACATTGATGATCAATAGCTATGTTGTGTATACTATAATCTTTATAAGATATCAATAAGACATTCAATAGTTTGTATACATGTTTAAAATTAAATGTACATGTAAAATATTTAGTGCATAAAGCCCAACATACACTGAGCAACTTTGTTGCTGGCAACTTGTGCTCAGGCCTTTGATGTGGTTGAGCAACACTGGGCAACATGTTGCAGAAAGTAGAGAGACTCTCAACTTCTGGCAACAAGTTGCCTCACCACATCAAAGGCACTGGCAACAAAGTTGCTCAGTGTATGTTGGGCTTAAAGACTGCTCCTATTGTTCATTGCTGATATCGCTTTAAAATTTAATTTTATACGAAAAGTAGAGGGTGTGGTCATAAGTATAAATTAAATTTGAGTCATACTAATGCATGTAATTTTTATGGACTTCCTACAAAATTCTCTTTGTGAGGACGGCCCTATCATTTGCTATTTACCAACTGACAATAAGACAGAGGACAGCACTTTTTATAATGAATTTCTTTCTCAGATTTCTCATCAGTTAGCAGTTAACAAAATAATAACCGCATGTGCACTAGTAAAAGGGCCTGATTGAGCTATATTGTGTGGTGAATTATTATCATTATTACTGATGGTGTGCAAATTGTCGTTTAGGAACGACAGCAAATAACTATAATTTATTATGTTATAATAGCAAAAAATCTTTTCTACCAAAATTTGAAATTGTCATACAAAACTAGAATAGATCTAAATAAAATGCTATTCTTCATTGTAGTGGCACTCTTGTTTGTATACAAACAAGAGTAACAATTGAATACAGTCATTGACAACATAATCATAATCAATAAGATACTTGTTATAGAACCACAGACCTTTCTTCATTTGATTCAGTATGAATGGAAGATCACTAGCACTGACTATACATATTTTATGTCTCAAGTATCTTTCTAGACATCCATTCCTTCTTGCACCCCAAAATCTTTGTGAAAATCTTGGCATTGCTAGACCAGCAGCCTTTAGCTTCATACGATTACCAGGAGCATCCTTCAACTTGTTAAGTGTGGCAAAAAAGAATTCCTCTGCTGATCTTGTGTACTGTAATCTTTTTCTCAGTGCTATTGCTTTACTGTCAGTGAGTGCATATTCAACAAAATCTCTACTTAATGCACTGTTGATTGATTCTGCACTTTTATAAATTGTGAAATTTGGTAGGGGACCAATGTTCTCTGGGGGACTACCGGGTACAACTTTTTTCTTCATAAGCCATTTATGAGCATATCCAGTAGCAGCATTAATACCTTCAGCAACAATATTGTTCCCCTTTAGCTCCACCAACTTTTTTACAATGTCCCTATTAGTTATCAATGGGAGTTCAGGTGAATGTAATGTCAGTACATATTTCCATGGTGTAGTTACTGTCAGTAGTTCACTGAGACAACTCAAATGTG